GGCGGGGGAAGGAGGTGGAGGGAGCCGGCGCGGGGCCGACGTGGAGGAGCGGAGGGGGCGCTCCGGAGGAGGGGGGCCTGAGGAGGCGGGTGCGAGCCCCGTGTGGGGTGCGGAGACCTCGGGCTGGAATTCAGGGAGGGGAGATCCCCGAGCCGCCTCCACCGACCCCGCCCCGGGGCCGCTCACGTCGGTTCCGGGGCGGATTACCCCTCTCCTAACGGCGCGGCACTGCGGCTCCGGGAGCCGGGAGAGGGGGAGGGGTCGGAGGCCACGGGTCCAGAAACCGTTACTGGGAAGGCAAGTGGGCTGCGGCAGCCCTGGGCTGGGTGGGGCCGGGGTGGTCGAACCCGAGACCCGCGTGGGAGTTGAGGGGCGCGAGGCTGATGTCCTGGCTCGCGGGAGCCGGCGGAGCAGGGGCCCGGGAAGGGGCGCGCGCGCCCGGGGGACGGTAACCGCTGCTGCACGGGGATTGCTCCGGGCCCTCTCAGAGCCTTCTCCCTCAAGGGCGCTCTCAGGGATCCACCAGAGCCCTAAAAACCGAAGCCTCTGGAACCTATATCCTCCTTCTGTCCGTCTCGCCCCAGAATCTTCCCTGCGTCCTCCTCGCCCCCTCCCTCCTGCAGTGAGTATCCTGGTTTATTGGTAAATATCTTGGTGACATTGTAACTATCTTGGGTCATTTCCTGGACCGGCTCCTCCCAGCTGAACTCCGGTGCCACGTTGTGTGGCGGGTGGTCACTTTCATCCTCGCCCTTTTATAAAGGACTCAAATGATACCTCTCCTCCCTGAGAAGTGGCTGTGTCCTCGGGTCTTGGTTTCCAGCAGCCCAAGGCCAGTTCTCTGCACTCGCACTCTGGGAAACCTTTCTGGGACTTTTCTATAGGCAGGGCAACTTTCTTCTCAGTTCTTTTCTGGAAATAAACTACCATACCTGCAGGGAACGGGGCGGAAAAGCCCGCACATGCAGCCGTTTCCAAATCCGTTCAGTGTAAACTCATAAAGCATCGGATTTACGTAGTGCAATGTGCCTATCCGAGTCAATGGTGATGTTCGCTCTTCTAACAGTTGGCACAGTCGACTCTCTCTGGGCAGTCATTTTGGGCTGCATTTCATAGCTGAAGACCCAGGTTGAGATAGGCTAAGTAACTTCTTCAAGGTCATAGGACTACTGACAAAACTTTTGAGTTCCCTGACTCCAGATCTTCCAGCTCAAATACCCAATGATTTTTTTTCCCCAATCCTTTATAAAGCCTCCTAAAATGGTGTGTCTGGTGGCACCGCGTCCTACTAATAGATGCTCTGAAAGGACTGAGATAAACTAACAGCTGAGATTATTTTTTCTAAGTTTTGGAAGTAAAAAGTATACGTGGTTAAAAAAAAAAAAAAGTCCCAGGTCTTTAGACATAAATTGGTTTGATTGCAAAGCGGAGAAAGAAGGTCGTGAACAAAAAAGTTCAGAAATGCTTTGTCACACGTGGTCCTGAATGAAATAGTTCCCGGGAATGTCCTCTAACACTTAGCGCCCCTCAGACTTGCTTATTTTTGGTAGCAGAGTGGCAGGCAGCAAGCATATTTTTAAAATAATAATCCCTGAATGCCCTCGGAACTTACCACACTGAAGAAATGTGGTTGTAGATCTGTTTTCATATGTTTGCACCTGTCAAAATGACATTGCACACCGTTTGTATACCGCCACAGGCTTAAGATAGTCATAAGCCTTGATCCTCAGTTATTGAGTTAAAAGCTGTCTAAATTGTCTTTAAAAATCCCGTAAATAATTCAATTAACAACTAGTAAATTTCTACCAGGCAAGACAAAGTACATTAATATTTGAAGGACAGCATACAAGCTGTGGATTCTGTATAAAAGATGCGGAATGATTCAGACAGCAGAGTATCATGGATAAAAGAGGAAAGAGCCACAGTGCTGGATGTGTCCTCTTAGTTGATTGTTTCTGAAAAACGATGCTAGGAAGAGAAAATTAACTTTTATCAATACGGTGAGTAACCACATAAAAACATTATTTCCCAGCTTCTATGACCTCCAAAGCTGACCCTTCCCTGAAAAAGGGACATGTGTTCATGATCTTCATTTAACTCAGTGAATCTTAAATGGATCAAGGAAAAACACCTTTGTGACTTTGAATGCATCGTCTGCTGTAAGAATATAGAACGTCGGGGAGCACAGTAAAGATGAACCACTCTAGCTGCTGGCATCCAAGCAAAAGAGATGATAGAGACACAGACATCTGATAAAGAACATCAGGGCACCAGCAGGCCACTGACAGGCATCCAATAGCCAACATGCATCTACCAAAATGCTGAAAGGCACATCCAATCTGCTTCAACCTATGTAAAGGAGAAGAAAGATATGAATAATATAACAAATGCCAGAAAAGTCATATCTTAACCCCCACCCACCCACCTCCCTTCACGCATAGGCTGAGTGAAATGTACCCTTCACCAAAACAGTCCTTTCACTATGAACTTGTAAACCTTTAGATACCAGAAGTTTCTTGAGCTGAATCCAAGAATGAAGGAGAGCTAGGAGGGGCCCAAGCAAGTATGTCCCAAAAAATTACTTGGTGATATTCATGGATATCTCTAGGAATCCTCCTTGAATTTCCCATGTTGCTCTGTCCTGAATCCATCCTCTGGGGTCACATTAGGGATTTTAAATAGAAAACAATCCAGGCTACACTAGGTCAGAATGGTTTCAAAATGATCTTGAAGCTAAATTATGTGTGACGACCTTGATATGCCCTTCAATAGGAGGGTTAACAACAGGAAAATTATCCTGGAGAGCTCTTCAGAATTGCTTTTTGATTCTTTCCAGTTAAACTCTTAGAGATGTTCCAAAATTGTATAGTTGGCACCTTTGGAGTGCACTAATTTGTTTTGTTTTTGTTTTAGCTTTTCTTTCCTTCAAATTCCTTCTGTATTTCTGGATTTACACCACAAATCCAGACATTTAGTTTTAAGGTAGTCTTGTATTTTCACAAAACTATTTAATGAGACATTTTTCTCTTTCCCAAACCGATGAAAAATGTTCTTTAAGCTATATACTATACCATATTTGTAAATATAAATTCATAGCAAATATTCATTATACATATTGAATAATTTAGTGATTAAAAGATGGATAAACCAGCAGGGATGCATGGTAATGGTTACATCTTTTTGAAAAGTGTTCTAGAGAACATTTACTTGGTTGGGGTGCACTCATTTGTCTCTGTGGTCGCTAAGTACAATACACAGAATCCTCAGTTGCCTTCAAATATCTAAGAGAAAAGAACTCTGTGCTATAGAGCAATTAGATTATGTTGTATGGGTGGGAGTGTGAGTGTTTAGAGAGGATAGTGAAGTGCAATCTGCGTATTGTAAATATTCAATGCAGAGCACAGCTTTGTTGTACGTCAGAGCTAAAACGGTGTCAGCATCATAGAACAGTGCTATGTGCAGCCCAGTCCACAATTTATATCTCCTACTCTCACCTGTCCCCTGAACTTCAGTCTCACGTGTCACCGTGTCTCCTTGACTGCCCTACTTAGATGCCGAAGGGCCATTTCAAACCAACCTAGTCCAAAAGCAAACAACATCCCAAACCTGCTCGCTTCCCAACCTTCGTTATGCCAGTAAGCTAGCTGTTCATTCATCCAGTTACTGAAGCCAAAATCCTTGGAGGCATCCTTGACTGAGTTTTCACATCATACATTCAGTGTATCAGAAAGTTCTTTCAGGTGTACTTTCAAAATATACTCCAAATTTACTACTACTTTTCACCACCCCGACATCCCAATTCAAACTACCATCACAGTGCTCCAGGACTATCATATAGCCTCTTGTTGGGGCCCCTGAGTGGCTCAGTTGGTTAAGCGTCTGACTTTGGCTCAGGTCACGGTCTCGCAGTCGGTGAGTTTGAGTCCCGCATCTGGCTCTGCACTGACAGCGTGGAGCCTGCTTGGGATCTCTGTCTCTGTCTCTGTCTCTCTCTCCCCCTCCCTCTCTCTGCTCCTACCCCACTGCACTCTCTCTCTCTCTCAAAAATAAATAAATGTTATTTAAAAAAAATAGCCTCTTGTCACCCTGCTTCTTACTCTTGAATCCATCCCCAGTAGCGGCCAGGATGATCCAATTCAAATGTGTCTAATCACGCGTGCTCCTGCTCAGTACCCACCAATGGCTTCCCGTCATACGTTGTGCACTATCAAAAATGTGAGCATGCCCTTCAAGTCTTCTATCTACCTTCTGGCTACCTCTCTGAAGACATGACCATAGCTTTCCTCCCCACCCCCGTTCCTCTTCCCTGTTGTTCGCTCCTACCACATTGACCTTGCCAAGTACACTCCCTCTTCAACCTTCTTTCGGCTCCTTATGACTCTTTCCCTCACTTCACTCAGATCTCTGCTCTGAGGCACCTCATCCAAAAGACCTTCCTTAACCTTCCTATCAGAAATAGAATCCTCCAGCCCTATTTTAACTCTGACCCTATCCCGGTTTTATTCTTTCTCATGTCACTACTCAGTATTACATGCAGGCACACCGTTTCATCGCCCGTCATTGGCTTCACGGATACTGTGTTTTGTACCAATAGAAGGGTTGCGGTAGCTCTGCTTCGAGCAGGTCCGTCAGCCCCATTTGCCCAACAGCACTAGCATTTCTGTGTCACATTCTGGTAATCCTCACAATATTTTGAATTTAAAAAAAAATTTTAGTGTTTATTTTTGAAGGAGAGAGAGACAGAGTGTGAGTGGAAGAGGGGCAGACACACACACACACACACACACACACACACACACACACACACACAGAATCCGAAGCAGGCTCCGGGCTCTGAGCCATCAGCACAGAGCCCGACGCGGTGATCAAACTCACAGACCGCAAGATCGTGAGCTGAGCTGAAGTCGGACACTCAACTGGCTGAGCCACCCAGGCGCCCCTTGAATTTTTTTAAATCATTATATTTGTTATGGTGATCAGGGATTGCAATTCACTGAAAGCTCGGAGGATGGTTACCATTTTTGAGCAGCGAAGAATTTTTTAATTAAGGTATGCACTTTTTGTTTAGACATCATGCTATTGTATGCTTAATAGACCACAGTGTAGTGTGGACATATCTATTATATGCACTGGGAAACCAAAAACACAGTAGGCTCACTGTATTGTGATATTTGCTTTATTATGGTGATCTGGAAGCAAAGCCACATATCTATGAGGTATGCCTGCATTTACATATTGTGTGTATTCTGTTGGCTTCTTTTTTTTTTTTTTTAAGATCCTATTTTTAAGTAATCTCTGTACCCAACGTGGGGCTCAAACACACAACCCCAAGATCAAGAGTTGCACACTCTGCCAACCGAGCCAGCCAGGCACCCCTGTTTGCTTCTTATCTAACATCTTCTATTGAGGCATTTGCTCCATTGGAGACTTCTGTCCACTGTGCCTGGTCAGAGTAGTGTTCAGCCAATACTTATTGAACAAATACTGTAAAACCTTGGTTTGCGAGCAAAGTTCATGCCAAAGCACTCATATATCAAAGCTTGTAATCCAAAGCACTCATATATCAAAGTGAATTTCAAGAACTATTGGCTCATTTGGTTAAGTGTTGGACTTGGGCTCAATCATGATCTCACAGCTTGGGAGTTTGAGCCCTGCATGGGACTCTGTGCTGACAGCTCAAAGCCTGGAGCCTGCTTCAGATTCTGTGTCTACACCTCTCTCTGCCCCTCCCCGCTCAGGATCTCAGGATCTCTCTCTCTCTCTCTCTCTCTCTCTCTCTCTCTCTCTCTCTCTCAATCTGTCAAAAATAAATAAACATTAAGAAAAAAGAAGAAATGTTTGCTTGTCTTGCAAAACACTCCCAGAACAAGTTACTCGCAATCGAAGGTTTTACTGTATATGAATAACTCTGTCCAGTCAAGCAGGTAATAACCAATCAGTCTCTGTCTATAAAGCATTGTACATTTGGTTAAACCATACTTCCCAAGTGAGACCGCAATCTGTAGGACAATGAAGGATGTAGTTACAGCATTTTGGCACGCTCCATGTCATGCGAATACGTTTTTTTTTTTTCCATTGCTTAACCAAATTAACTAAA